GGACCATCTTGATCTCCCCACAGCCCAGAGTCCTTTAATATCTTAGTCAGCTAAAACTGTACAAGTCATCTATGAGGCCGATCTCAAGGTCACCTGCTGCACCTTTATAAGCATTTGCAGAATGAATGTTTCTGCACAAATGTGTATCCATCAAGTACAACAGTAGAAGGCAGGTTATTAAAACCTAATGAGAGATGTAATGTGCTAAAATCCAACTCTACAGTTTTTATGAAGAGTAACACTAGCAAGAATAATATGTGACAAATGTTAGAAAAATTGTAGCATCTTTGTCATAGTCTAGAAACTAGTTCATTTGCAAGTAATTAGAGTTTTATGATTTAGTAAGTTAGCACAGGTTAATGAGGAGTTCTATGTTAATTTAAAATTTCTGTGAAACAGTGGCAAAAATAGCACCTGCTGAATATTTGAAGGCTGCAGTCATGTTGATCTTGGAAATCTAAAACCTCCTCAATGCGCTGGACTGCTGGGTGAAAGGCCTCTCCCAAACGTGACAGGTGTGGAGCAGCACTCCTCCACACCTTTCTCTGTGTCCAGCTGGGGAGTGTTTCCTTTGCTCTGCTGCAGCATGCAGACCCAGACAGAGCGTCTCAGGTTCCTATGCTGGGTGTTGCTTCACAAGCTTTCAGCAACAATATGGCTGCAGTCACTGTTGGGATTTACCAATGGAGGGCAGAGGGGCCTCATTCTGTGATGACTTCAGTGACAGAGTCAAAAGTGGAGAGAAATATACAGACAAGTGTGAGTGCTCCCAAGGCAGTATTCCACCTTTCCTTTCATGAATGTCCATGTCAGAGATTACTGCTGTTAGTCCCTTGGCTGTTCACCTTGAGTCCTGTTATGCATTTCATTTCATGAGTTCTTCCCTGAAGCCTCGTTAGTAGCAGTAGGCAGCTGGGGCCAGCAGTGCACACCAGTCACCCCAGCTATTACAGAGGCTGAGGCAGAAGGATCGCAAGTCTGAGGCCAGCCTGGATGACTTCACAGGACCACATCTCAAGATAAAATTATAAAAAGGACTTGTAGATCATTGGGAAAATGCTTGCCTAGCTCATGTGAACCCTTGGGTTCAACCCTCAGCACGAGACACACACACACACACACACACACACACACACTAATCATTCATGGCTTGTGGTAGAAATGCACATGAATGTGTTGCTCATTATGGTCTGTAGAACTTCAGAGAATGCCTATCATGGCCAAAGGTATGGGAGGGAAAAAACAAATTAAAAAGTCGTGTGTATTAAGCCACCAAGTTTAGCTTCCTTAAATAAGAATAACTTTATGTAACCACATCCCAAAACAAGGCCAAGTAGGCTACTTGGAAGGTAAAATTAAGAATTTTCTGTTATAGTTCTTCATCCAGTTTTACTTTTTATTAAGATTTCTATCAGGCTTTATCTTTGCCTGACATTATGTTGCTTATGGATCATGTTTTTGGTAGAAACAAATAGCAGGGATTGAGGACATGGAATTTTTATTTCCGGAGTGCTGAGCTTGCTAAGGCAGGTGTTGGCAAATGGTAGCCCACGGGACAAGTCTGTAGCACAGCTTGTTCTGGTAAAGTTCACAAGCGCAGAACAGTGTTTTACCTTCCTAAATTTTTGGAGAGAAAAAGAATATGTGACAGAGACCACATGTAGTCTACAAAGCCTAAAATATTTATCACCTGTCTAATATGGAGCAAATTTGCCAACCCCCTACCTAAGATAATACCATTTTTGCCAAGTTCGTTTCAAGTACAATTTTATATTATAAGGAGTATTCTAACTTTCTTTTGAGGCCAGACAGTGGGTTTATGTTTTGTCATAGCTTCAATCAGGAGTTAAACCTCCCTTCCTAGATAACCAGTATATCTTTAGGACCAAATATAAACAGGGTAACCAGTGATCAAACACTGACATTACTTAAGTAATGATAGGTACAAATATCATATTGATAGGTAACCTAAGCTCTTCTGACTTGGACTAGCTACCTGCCTGTATAATTCATTTTTATGTAAGCTAAATAAATCTACCTCCTCTGTCACTAAATAAAGATACTAATGCAGTAAGATATGAATGAATTGTTCTGATCTCTTGAGGAATGCAGTCTGCTTGGTTTTAACTTCATTAACCTTGGGTGACAAAGTATAAACACCAAATTGTTAAAAAATTTACTGCAGAAGTTGTGGAGAAGCCGATCTTGTGGACTTGGAACTGAAGCCTGCAGAACGTAGTCACTGAGCATTGGCAGGATGCCTCTCCTTTAACAAGGAAAACACTGAAGTCATCTTTCAAGATCACTGTCTGGAGTGTATAAACTAAGCTCTGCGTGTATAAAGTGGCGGCTCCATGGTACATATTCTCAGGGCAGCTATAAGGGTAAAGCAGTCTTTATTGCTGTTACGTAGTGGAATATTGTAATAAAATACCATGATTGCCTTTGCCGTCTGCTCTCTGCCTCTAGATGCAGAGCTGCTTCTGTGGAGCCTTAACCTGGGAGAAATTGACCAACAAGAGATTAAAATCAGTCCTGTTGGATTTTCTTGTAAGAATGTCTGCTAAGAGCTCTCATGAGGTTTTCTTGCTGTTTCCCTTAAGATTTATAGCCTTTTCCATAAACATAATACTTATTCTTTAGAAGAACCTAAAGGAAGAAACTACAATTTTGCTATGATACCAGATATCTGGGATAGTCCACAGTTATGCTGGTGTGTTTATATTAAACCAGGGAAGCACTTACAGAACAGGTTTTATAGGATGTCTAGAACTCCCGTGGCACATTTGTCCTGCAAGGATTGCATATTAGGGTCAGGCTATAGCTTCTTCCTCCTTGTTCATTCTCTTTGATCCCTCAGACAGGCTGTAGATGTGGCTCATTTTGGCTGAGTCTACTCTGGCCCTGAGGACTTTTGTTTCATAGAAACCTTCAAGCTGGGTAAGAATAACATTCCCTTTGTTCATTGTTTCTGAGGGATGCATTTTTCATACTCCAGACAGGTAGTTTGAGATGTGACTAAAAATTGCAGCTGCATTTCTGCCTTAAAACGAATTGATGTTTTAAATGCTGCAGTTTTGTACCTTTCCAGTGCAGTCTTAAGTTGTCAGAACTGCTTCTCAGTCTATTTTGCACACAGCCCTGGATATTATCGATCTTAGCATATAATATTTTTCCATTTACAGATTGTCTTTGTTAGAATGATAGAAATCATGAGACATGGTTATTAGTAAATCAGCATATTTCGGTGAAATTGTTTGAAATAAAACCCAAACCAATATCTAGGTTTAGTGTTCAAATTAGATTACATTCAAAGAGAGTGTGTCTGTAATTTGCTTATCTGGATTCCAATTACAGTTAGTCTTCCTGGGTTTTGTTTTTTGTTTTGTCTTGTTTTGTTTATTTTACTTACAGAAGTGCAACCTTTCAGCTACCATTGTGTTACAGTTTCTCATTCTCAGTATTTAGTTACTGGTATTCTGATAAAAACAGTCTTCTAATTAACTGTTGTTAAAATCATTGCTAGGCACAAAGGGAGAATGAGTCTCCTTTGTGCTGCTAAAGGATATTTCCAAATCAGTGGGATAGTTTTAAACATGTCTTACTGCTACGAAACACCGTGCTTATGTTTCTCCAATCTGCATAGATTGAAAACAAATAAATATTTAAATCAAAATAATTTATTACAGTATAACACACATTGACATTAATCCCCCTAAAAATACTCCCCCCTTACCACAAATAGATGTACCCTATCCTCTTGTCATTTCCTGGAGCAATTCTTGAAGTTCTCTTTCATGAGTACCTTCCCTTGTGCTATCGTGGCTGCCTCGATGTCTTGAATCGATTCAAAACATTTGCCTGTCGTGGTCACTTTAACTTTGGGGAAGAGCTAGAAACTGAATCTGTTAGATTTGGAGAACAATCTAGATGAAGACTCACCTGAATGATTTTATGAACCTAGCCTTCTGTTGAACGGCACTTGGTAGCAGCATTCAGTGTATTTTTGATCACACCTCATAGAGAGGAATTCCAGAACTGATTCAGAAAGTAGTAAGAAGAGTGGCATAAGTGTGTTTGAAGTGAGGGAAAATATTTTGAGGAACGGTAATGTCAATTTGTCTTTTAGTGTAATATTTTTTAAATTTAAATATGCATCATATATTTCTATCACACCTCACACATACACACCCATACACCCAAACACTGACATCCCTACTTGGTAGGGAATGTAGGTATAAAACTAACATACAGTCTTTGCCCTTTAGAGATTTGCAATATATTAGGACAAATTTGTTAAATTGTAATGTGAGAGAGAATAAGCACCAAAATCAAGGGATGAGGACATAGATCATTCAATTATAATTTAAACCTTTAGGGGAAAAGTGTTTGATGTGGGTCTTCAGAATGAATGGAACTTCAGAAGGCTGAAAGTGAGGCCAGGCTGCCCAGACTGAAAGGACGTGAGGAAGGGTGTGAAGGCGGAAGGTGTGGGACCATACAGGAGCAAAGCAGCGTTGCCTTCCTCAAGGAGGATTTAGGAAGAAGGGATGTGGTAGGCGGTTACACTGAAATGGGGGTATTGTGTGTGAAAATTAGGAGTCTGGATTTTAGCCTGCAGGTCCGTTTCCAAGCACCCCCTTGGTATTGTTGCGCCACCTGCATTATTATTAGCATTTTGTTAATATTGACAGTTATTTTCCTTCAGTGACTTTACATGAAAAGGAAACTTCCTGTGACTTTGCTTACCAATAAACCTGTACTTGTTTTAAGTAAATCCAGAGATCCAAGCCCTCATTAAATTCCGTTTTGGCCATGTTTCTTCTACAGTACTCTGAGCTGAGCCTCTTGGCTTACTGCAAAGGGAGGTAAGAGAAGGTTACAGGCCTGGCTCTGACCCACTGGCATAACTCCGACCCTTTTTTTATACACAGCAGAAGGGCCAAAAGAGGATCAAAACTGAAATAAGTTACTACAGACAATCCTGAGCCTTATGTAACTGCAGTTCATCTCAAATGCATTGTAAAAACTTGCCCTGTGTGCCACTGCCTACGTCCTATGCTTTCTAAAACTTCTGGCAATACTGAAGAGTTCTGGAGCGGGTAGGTCTTTGAGCAGTAGAAATGTTGCTCGGACTTTCTAAGGAAACACTGACAGCATGGAGAAGGCAGCTGGGAGAGACGAAGGAAGGTGCTAGAAGCAGGAAGAGCAGCTGAGCTGTTAACGCAGTCTTAGCTAGAGGAGAGGGGGCTCTCCAGTAGGGGATGAGTCCTTCACTATTCATGCCCAGTGACCTTTATCAAGGTCAGGAAAAGGCTTCGAAGAGTAGTGTGCGATGCCTTACATGTGCCAGAAGCTGTAGGACTAAACACTGGAGGAGGGGGCTGAGAAGGGAAATAATGGGATTTATTTTGCAGATGTCAACAAATGAGGAAAGATAGAAGAATATGATTGAAAGACACCCAAGTGCACCTCATCTGGGGTTATATAATAGGAGAGGAAGTGAAGAAAATATGTAAAGGCTCAAGTCAAAGGAAGGCAAGTTAAGGGGATTCACGAGAGGTGGCTTTTGTGTCTGTGAAACAGAGGATGTAGCTATGTGTGGAAAGCAAGATTGGTGACAAAATGACATTTCTAAATTCAGTTTATAAAAATTCTAGCAGTCCACTCTACCTGAGATCATGGAGTGAATAAAGGGCTTGCCTATCATGTTTTTAAATATTACAGATTCGTCATAAATCCCAAAATATTGCCAATTCAGATTTATGTAACAATTACTAGGGGAATTCAGTTAGTATCTAGTGTACTCTGCTGTGTATATCCGAAGTGTTCTACATTCCTACTCCCAAGAAGGGCCCTAGACCAACACTTATAAAAAGCATGCATCTCTGTGTCAGAGTTACAAGATTTTTGAAGTTTAGGATTGGGAGGATTTTCAACCTTGTGAAGTTTAGGGTAGGAGAATTTACTTGGTCCAACTAACTCTTGAATCCTATCACCTCCCCAAAGATCAGTCAGCCATGCTTAAAACCTCAGAGGATGCCCTAGCAACTCCTGCAAAAGCCCATTCTATCCTTGGCCCAATTCATTTTATTATAAAATATAGTCA